CTCTTTGTTCTTTTCTTAGCTCTTCATGGCTTATGGAAGACTGAGTTTCCAACGTGCAGGGCTCCAAGCCTTGATGTGAAAGGTCCAGGATAGCCACATAAGCCACATCTTTCTCTCTGGCAGCCTGAGTGCCTTCCCATGTTGCTTGAATGGTCTCTCTCGAAAGGGTCTCTGAGCATTCATCCACATATTTACTGATGTCAAGAGGCAACCTAGAGAGGGTATCCGCATCACCGTTGGCTTTGCCTGGACGGTATTTGATTTCAAAGCGGAAATCAGCCAACTCTCCAACCCATCTGTGACCTACAGCGTTTAGTTTCGCTGTGCTCATGACATAAGTCAGGGGGTTGTTGTCTGTGTATACCAAAAAAGAAGGAGCATAGAAGAGGTAATCACGAAACTTCTCACATACCGCCCACTTTAAGGCGAGGAATTCCAGTTTCCCGGAATGCAGAATGCATGTGGTACCTCTTCTCTACGGGAGACAGTTTCCTCGATCCATATGCGATGACTTTCAGGTTTCCATCTTGGCGTTGATACAACACAGCTCCAAGGCCTTCAGCCGATGCATCTGTGTGTAATACAAAAGGGCAGTCAAAGTTGGGATAAGCTAGCACAGGTGGAGTGGATAAGATGTAGATTAGTCTGTCCAGAACATGCTGGTGTTCCCGAGTCCACTGAATAGGGGCTTTTGAAGAAAGCTGTCCCACTTTTCCTTTACTGGTTTTCTGCTGAGGGTGAACGGCATGGTTCCCTTTGATCTGCAATAAATCATACAGTGGTTTGGCAGTTCTGGCAAAGTCCTGCACGTAAGCTCTGTAGTAACTCAGAAAACCTAACAGTTTTTGGACACCTCCAACTGTAGTTGGTGTCTTTTCCCTGAGGACTTGGACTGCTTCTATGTCTTTCGAGTCAACACGCACACCCTCGGCTGACACCAGCCGTCTAACATAGCGCACTTCCTTCCTGAATAACTCGCATTTGGTAGGTCTTTTTATACCATGTCGTTGAAGAGCCCTTAAGGCCTTCCTTAGCCCTTCCACATGGTCCTCAAACGTCTTGGCATAGCAAAGCACATCATCCAGATAGGGAATGCAGCACTCATCTCTTAAGGAGTCCAGGACTTCCTCCATACACCTCTGAAAAGCTGCTGGGGCATTTGACAGGCCAAAAGGAATGCGGACTCACTCGTATAGACCCCAGGGGGTTATAAAAGCAGTGAGGTGCCGGGATCCCTCTGAGATGTAGCCCTGGTGATACGCCTTCCCTTGGTATAATATAGAGAACCAGTGGTATCCCCCTAGTGTGTTCATTAGGTCCTGGATTCGAGGTAGTGGATGTCGATCTGGAATGGTCTTACGATTTAAAAGGTGATAGTCAACGCAGAACCTCAGTGTGCCATCCTTTTTCCACACACAAACCACAGGAGCAGAGTATGGTGATTTGGATTTAACTATCCAATTCCTGGCTAGAAAATCTTGAATGTATTCCTTAACTTCTTTGTAAAGAGGTTTAGGAATGGCCGAATAGGAGCGTTGTACCGGTATGTCGTCTTTTAAACTGATTGTCATTTGTAGATTTGAAATGCAGCCAATATCGGTGTCATTGCGAGCGAAAGCTTTGGATTCCTCAAACAATAGTTGTCTCACAACAAATTGTTCTTCTGGACTTAGATGAATGATGTCGACTGGAGGGTGCCAACCTGCTGCTGTGTCTGTGTTGTTAACTCCACTGATTGTGGGTTGTGTGTCAGTTCTAGTTGTCTGCTCAGTTTCAATAATCTTTTCAATGCACTGGATGTTTCCTAGCATTGTGCGATGAGGTAGGATAATTTCATGCTTTGTTATATTGCCCACTGGGATCTCAACAAATGGTCTTTCCGTGTGATGTACTTCAACTAGACCATCTCCCACATCCAGCCGCTCAACCTGATCATAATCAGTGCAAAGTTCAAACAGAGCAACCGACTGGGTGAAGCTAGCAGGCACTGGAAACTTTATATTAGCTATTTGCCCTGGCTTAAGAACAAGATCATGATGGCCTATCTTTAGTGCCACCTCTTCAGATGTGTTGGCTCCCCTTTCTACGTTAATAAAATTTATGACTGCTTCAGCCTTCTGAGCGTCAATGTTCATGGCTCCCTTCAGCAGGCTACAAATGACAGGCAATATTTCTGATTAATCTTTCTGACCCAGAATGATTTCCTGAATTACATTGAAGCCTAATAGTGGCCTTAAAATGTTGACTTGGCTCACCAGAAAGGGCGCTTTAATTGAGTGATTTGGGTCATCGTTACCTGGCAGGTTAACAATAATTTCCACCCACCCATCATAGGGAATAATTTCTCCATTAGCAGCGAACACATTGCGATCACATTCCCCCATCATTTCATTTAAAGGTCGGATTATTTGATGAGGTAAGTATTTCTGCTTCCAGGCTCTGTCCACAAGACTAACCTGGGCGCCCGTGTCAAGCAGAGCTGTCACGGCGTAACCATTCATGTTACACTTTAGCAGACATTTTTTTCCAATTAACTGTGCCACTCTTTCAGATGTAGCCTCATCAGTGGCTGACATGTTGGTAAAACACGTTTGCTGCTGGCACTGTGGAATTAGTTTAGTATTGTTACCATTTGATTGGGACTGCATGTTGTCCTCAATCACAGGTCGCCCCTCACATGTGACCTTTGTTGGTTTCCCGACTGCTCGCGTTTTTTTAGGCAGCCTACCGCACGATGCCCTTCTTCACCACATGAAAAACAGTGTTCACAATTAGCAAGCTTCTGTTCAATGCGAGAGGGGCATCCATGTTGTTTAACCTTTTTATGTTGTTGTGGTCTTGTCTGATAGCTGGCACAATAACAAGACTCAAGTGGTAGAGCCTGGGGTTGCATATCAGTTGGTTTTGGCTGTGTCAGCGATTCCACTAGTTGTGTTAATGCATGTACCTGTGCACTCAACTTCTACATGTCTTCATCCTTACTTATGGGGTGAGGGTCCTCTTTACTCTCTCCCAACTTCCCTGAAGTCACCTGCCCACTATGTGCATAAGCGTATTTGGCACGTGGGTTACGCCCAAGGCGCCGTCTTCTTTCGCTCTCTTCGCCAGTTGTTCTGATGACTTGTCTTAGAAGGGCGTCATCTGAAACAGACTTTTCTGAGAGGAGAGGTTTTAACTCACGCCTTATATCTTGAACTCTTTTCGGTGGAACATGGACATATCCCTCAGGGCAGTGAAATTTTCAATCCCACAGGGTGGTTTGTCATATAGAGAGGGTAGTGGCGTTGGGGCTCCACCATCAGACGGTGTGGTAGTTTCTCCATCACTAGTCTGATTATTGGTAGAACGTGTAACCTTAGCAGATGGGTTAACCTGAATAGCAGCAAATGGAACAACTACTTCTTCAGTAGGATCACTATCTAGTTTATGATGTGTGCGGCACTCCTCAACAACATCTTTTAAAGACAGTAAATATCATAGACCTTGATCTTCTAACTCAAAAGTGATGAAGGCATATATGAACAAATATAGTCAAAGCAACCCCCTTCATCTTCTTTATCCAAGCTAGCCGAAGCTTGGTGAGGGAGTTCTGGAAGGTTCTGTGCAATTTCAAAGATCTGGTCTGCCGTCAGGTGCAGCAAACTCTTCTTCACTAACCAGACCAGTTCTCTTCTTGCGTGGGTTGCCATGGTTCACACCTGTCAGGAGCACTGGAAACACTGAATCCCTCACTCTGATAGCAGACGTCTTGGGCCTGTGATTTCCCCCTCCAGCTCCAACAGCGTGGTCCTGGCATTCCATGGGTTCAATGATCACTGGACTGACGACCTCTCTCAGCTTCCTGGTGCCGCCAATCCCGGACGAGCCCCCATAAATGTGTTGCAGGTCCCAGGTATGTGACCATGCAACAGGTGATTCTGTTAAAACAGTCAAATGACCAGACAGGACATCAGTATGGTGTTGCTGTGTCAGCTCCTCGTTGCAGAATGAGGAAAAGCTAACGGCCGCGCCAACGGCCGCACCAAACACTGTCCCGGTCAGCTGCCAAGTATCATACTGCCCTCTATTGGAATTAAGGTGCATTACCTTTACAGAACAGTTTACAAAGACTAATAATAACAAAGTCCTTAGAGACTCTATTTAAGTTTTTTTCTTTTCCTTTTAGCCTGGAATCCATTAAATATATATATTTTTTTCACACAGGAATACATTACATCAGATGGTGAAAGCATCAATACGAAAAATGTGACCACATCTTTCTGTGTGCGTCACACTAACGCTATTCCAAGCTACTGCTAACGCTATTCCAAGCTACTGCTAATGGTATCCAGAGCTACTGCTAATGCTATCCCAAGCTACTGCTAATGCTATCCTAGCTACTGTTACTGCTATCCCAAGCTACCGCTAACGCTATTCCAAGCTACTGCTAATGCTATCCAGAGCTACTGCTAATGCTATCCAGAGCTACTGCTAATGCTTGGCTGAGCTACAGCAGTAGTAGTAAATCAAAATCATTAAATAATCATGTTGTAGCTGAGTGGGCGGGACAAAGCAGTCTTTTCATTGAAGGGCTTTTTTTATGGGGCAGCTATCTGGACTCCTGGATCATTTTTTGCCCCAACAAAGTTTCGTAAAGCGTTGCTTTATTCAAAAACCAGTTTTTCAGTTGCAATAAGAGTGTTTCTAGGTCCTCTTTAAACCCAAACATTTCTTGACTCTCAGGCCTTTTCTACATTGAAACACAATTTTTTATTTTTATTTTTTGCATTCTTCTAGGAATATCCACACAGAAACAACCGAAACGACTTTGGTTCACTGCCAATCCGTACTTTCTGACGTCCTTCACCCTTGCTAATTTCTCGCCTCAAATAAAATTATCACAGCTCAAAATAATTTTAATTTTTATCTGAGGATAAATGCTAAAACAGTCTATTGTGAATTTCACCACACAAAGGTTATTAAACCAGCTTTAATTGGCTTTATCTATCTCTCGTCTCCAGGTGGTACCATGGGCATCTCTCTGGAAAAGACGCAGAAAAACTGCTGACGGACAAAGGCAAAGCTGGCAGCTTTCTGGTACGGGAGAGCCAGAGCCAACCGGGAGACTTCGTTCTCTCGGTTCTCACTAATGAAGAGAAACATGACAACGTGGACCGCAAGACCAAGGTCACGCATGTTATGATTCGCTGCCAGGTGAGAACACTCGTGCGTTTCAACAGGACCGGATTTTTTCTTAAATGAAAGTTCTTCTTTGGTCCAGTTGGTGTTATTTAATCATCTCTTTTTGTCTTTAGAAGGATGGTAAGTACGACGTGGGGGGTGGTGAGCGCTTCGACACCCTGGCTGACCTGGTGGACCACTACAAGAAGAACCCCATGGTGGAGAAGAGTGGCATCGTAGTTCACCTTAAACAGGTTTGGAAGACAAATAAAGGGATAGCATCAGACCCAGTTATTTGACTGTTATAACCATCTTTTTCCCGCCCGCGACAGCCTTTTAACGCCACCAGGATAAACGCAGCCAACATTGAGAACCGGGTACGCGAACTGAACAAGGTAGCGGATAACTCGGAGAAGCCCAAACAGGGATTCTGGGAAGAGTTTGAGGTACTAAATCTTTGCACCTTTCAGGGTTTAAAGTCTTCAAAGGGATTCTTTTGACATTTTGATTAATGCTTCATGTAATGTTTACATATATTTACTACCTTACCAGTCTCAGAATGCTGTCAGAATGGCCTCTGTTTGGAGAAATAGCTTTTACATCTTTTAAGACTGAGCTAACAGATCAGCTGACACCAAAGTGGATAACTGCTGTCTTCAAACAACTGTGATCTCAAAAATAGAAGTTTTTGCAATTGGTTAATTAATTTAAAAATCCCATCAAGGGTTATGACCCCTAGATGCAGCAAAGGTGCTTTAATTTGGCGCTGGTGATGATATCCATGCTTGTAAAAAAACAAAATTGCATTTACATGATTGTTTAATGCCAATTTAGTAACTATGTAACATTTTTATTAAAATCTGATAATTTTATGAAATGTGGCCCATTTTAAAACTGTAGTAATCCTCTTCAGGCTTGGCTCAGACCAGGGCTGGGCAAAACGATTATTTTTGTAATCATTTAATCTAGCGATTATTTTTTCGATGCATCGATTAATCTAACGATTAATTTGTTAATTTGATTAGATTTTGATTAGATTAAATTATTGATTATTTCCCAATTATTTGACTTGTATAGCAGTTTGATTATTACTAATTTTTGTATCTCAATGAAATAAATGCAAATTTCTTCATTTGAACACATTTTAATAAAAAAATTCAAAAATAAAGTTGTTGTAATAGTAGTACAATCTTATGTTAGAGATAATATTTAACAAAAAATTTAATGTTGTGCAAACGATTCATATAAATCAAGGAAAATTTATAACAAAAAATATATATAAATAGAAGCAATGGCGTCTTTTAACAAACAAAATCTAACATAAGTAACCTAAGTAGGACTCTGTGACTAGACTTGTCCAAGCATCAGTAGTAAAGGAGATTTTGGATGAGGCCTTTTTTAGTTCGTTCCTTAGTTTCTCAACTGAAGTTTGATACTTTCTCTCCATCATGCTTGTAAAATGGCACCTAGAAGGCAGAGTGTAACCTGGTTGAAAAGTGGTCAGCATTTCTTTGAATCCTTCACCCTCAACCACAGCAAGTGGCCTCATGTCTTTCAGAATCATAGACAGGACACTCTCAGTAAGTACAGCCACCTCCTGGGGGGTGCAGGGCGTTCTTTTCTGACAGTAGTCCTCCAGACTTTTCTGTTTGTTCCTGAAAACATAAATCACACACACAACACACAGATAAATTAAAATTATTACAAAAATATTTATGTAGAAAGCATAATATCAAAATAATAATTTGAAGATCTGTATTTCAGTGTTTTCTCAAAATATTTAATCTATAAGATTTGTTAAAAAAGAGGTTTTTAACACAAAATGCTGCACATTTTTGTAGTCATTAGATGGTGCAACTTAGATCTATAAGATCAACAAGCTGGAGGAGCATGATGTATAAAAAATAACGTTCAAACTGCATGAGGCATTAAACTTGACAATCAAGAGTCTGTTGTCATTTTGCTTTTGCAAGCACTTCAACAATATTGTAATAATGTCCACGAGGTGGTACATTGTCTTTGTTAACATTTTTACTGCGGACAATTAGCGCTCTCCCACATTTTCGGCTCTCGCTGATTCTCATAATCAGAACGTGCGCATTCAGACTCATTTGGCCGTCATGAGCCACGAATAAAAACCAACAAAACAGATAACAGCTGCTACTATATGTTACTACTAAGCAGCTTAAATGAGGGTTAGTGAGTTCTAGGGGTTGAGTCTTTATCTTTGTGTGTGAGTGGGTCTGCTTGTGTGTGTGAGTGAGTGCATGGCTACGTGGGGGTGTTTGGATGTTATAAAGCAGCATTAGTAAAAAAAAAAGTTGCAAACTTACGGTGTTTTTTCGTTTGCAGAAGCTGCTCCTGGATGCCTTCGTTTCAGGTGCTGGTGCATAGCCGTCGTGCTTTTATGATAGGCCATTTCCACTTTACACAGCCGGCAGACGACTGAATCGCTTCCTTTTCTGTTAAAATAGTCCCATACTTTTGAACTGCGAGTTTGGGTTGAGTGATTTAAGTCGACTGCCCCGCTCATGTTGCCACTACTCGCTGCTGCAATGCTTGTTTTTGAACGTGATGACGCATCGACGCAAATTATTTACGTCGACGTATTTTACGTGTCGACGTAATCACGTCGTCCCGGCCCTAGCTCAGACTAGCTGTTAGTGTATCGATCTGGAAGGATATAAACACTATTTCTCTAGACTGAAGCCGAATTATTCATAACTTTAAACAAAAACTCTTTTACGCGTAATGATTCTGGCTAAAAAGACAATATTATTTTATTACTATTGTTTATTGGGCGTATGGGATACTGGATTGTATCTGATAAAATTCTGCATAATATACAGTTTTACATTTTTATTCAGACGCTATGAATGATATCATCTTCATAATGTTATCACTGATGTTTTTAATGAGGAAAGCATGTAAACCAGGTCATATATAACATATGTATAAATCTAGTTTCATTTATATGGTCACATAACTGCATATTTATACTAAAAATGTTACTAGTCGGAAGTAAAATTACCTCCAAATGCCTCTATGCTATCATAAAATTCTCAAATCTGGCTTTTTCCTGTTGTTGCACTCCAGAGTGACCTCTGCTGTAGCGAAGACTCGTTACATCATCTCAGATCAAACTCTGTTCATAGGAATGCAGCTCCGAAAAGTGACTGGGATTTTATTCACAGCTCCTTGGAACTTTTTCCTTCATCAAACCTCATCAACAGAACTAAAGTGGAATTTGCGCTCTTTTCCGTCACTTCTTAGGTACTTCAGCAACAGGAGTGCAAGCTGCTGTATCCCCGGAAAGAAGGCCAGAAGCCAGAAAACAAGAGTAAAAACAGATACAAGAATATCCTCCCCTGTGAGTCACGCAGCAACCTGACGTTTCCTGTCTCTCCAACTTCCTGTGGAAAGAATGACACAAACAGCAGAAGCCCGAGCACAGCAGAAAGATTAAGCTTTGATAGCTCGCAGCTTCATCAAAAAACATAAAACTCTACTTTGTTCTGTGTTAATACTCTTATCTTTGTGTTTCCAGTCGACACAACACGAGTTATAATCAGAGAAACGGACTCAGACGGCCCTGGTTCAGACTACATCAATGCTAACTACATCAGAGTGAGTCTATTTAAAAACAACACTCCTCTGACAGGAACCAGAACCGCCGGGTCTGTCAGAATATTCATTTCAGTGACAAACTTTCATGCAGAATACACGCGAGGACGAGCGCCATGCGGAGGAGAGCAAAGTCTTCATCGCCACTCAGGGATGTCTGCAGAATACGGTCGTAGACTTCTGGAAGATGGTCCATCAGGAGAATGCGCATGTCATTGTCATGACAACCAAAGAGATGGAGCGAGGAAGGGTGAGCATGATCGTAAATACCAAACTCAAAAAGCTGACTTTATTTTTGATGCTTGAATGCATCGTTGCCTGGAAGCAAAAAAGGAAATTTAAACATGAACCCAAGAGTTTTCATGGTGCTAATTCCATAATCCTGCGTGCGGCATCAGATTTTTAAAAACTGTATTCAGCCTAGGGCTGGGCGATGTGGCCTCAAATCTATATTGCGATATAATCTGAAGCATGTGCAATTACGATATATACTGCGATTTATTTTTTCCTTTGTTTATATATGTCAAAATGACATGCTTTAAAAAATCCTCATATGGAAAATATGTTGCAGCGGAATAAAGACGTCCAAAAAGTGTAGAATGCTCCTCCTCCCGCTGCATGCTTGCAGTCACTGCCATTCTGTTGTGCCGATGTCGGCGCAGGTGCACATCTTAGTGACATCATGTGTTATCGCGGTAGAGCCAAAAACTTATCATTACGCAATTTTATATTCTTTCTACCTTATATCGTTTATATTGCCCACCCCTAATTCAGCCAACTGTTTTATTTGAGATGAATGAGCATCAGTCCTTTAAAAAGGTCATTATAATAAAGATGAATCTATCTGACTGATTATTTTAAAAAGTAAAAGTTAAACATTTTACAAAAGGAGCAGTAAATTCAGACCTCCTGTCAACAAAAAAGAACATGGACTTTGCAGTAATGTGAGCTAGAAAGTGATGTTTCTATTTGATTTCTGTCCGTTTTTAATTTGAAAAAATAACTAGATGACTACTTTGATTTATTTACTTTGAGGTTAAACAGAAAAATGATTTCAAACTGTCAAACGGCCATAAAGGGGACAGATGATGCAAAGCTCACCTTCTGCCTCTGTAATCGAACCAAAGACAGAAACATCTGTTTTCTGTCGGTTAGCTTTTAGCATCCGTTTCAAAAAGTTAAAGAAATTCGCATAGAACCCCTTTTTCTTTGGATTAAAGCTCCTCACAGAAATTGGAGCTTCTCAGCTCAAAGCACCCAATCGGGATGGGTGGGCGTGGCCAGCTCCACCTGGTTTTCTTAAAGTGACAGAGCCCTGAAACGACTCCTTCTGGAAGGTACTGATAAAACTGCTGAGCTCGCTTTATGTGAGAGGGGGTTTGTGCAGACATGATTTTATAGAACATAGAACTGTTACAACTTAAGAAAAATGTCTTAATTTGTCTCCTTTAACCTAAAAACACAAAGCTTAATGTTCAGAAGTCTTCCAAATCATTAAAAATCTGAATCATGTTTGAGGGAGAAAATTAGCTCCAGTTGTTTTGTCTAATATTTGAAGGAATTAAAGATTATTTTCATTTAAGTGGTCAAAAACTTCACAAAAATATAAAAATCACCCCAAAATGTTTGATTAATGTTCAGATACAAAAGAAGACGCAGCTACTTCAGTCGAACCTTCTGGCTATGAGCAGGTTTTTGCTACTGGTCCAGTTTTCAGTCAGATGAAAGTCATTATTGGATAGCAGCAGCTGATTCTGTGATAGAGGCGGTTTCTGTATCAGTATTAGAGCCGACGGTTTGTACACATGTTTCTGTGGTGGGGTGGATAATATAACAGATAAGCTGCTTGAGATGAGCCGGTTCTTCACCACCCACCCTCTCTCCTTCTCCTGATCTTTTAGAACAAATGTGTTCGCTACTGGCCAGACCTCCACACCTCGAAGGAGTTCGGGAAGGTAATGGTGAGGAATGTGGAGGAGCATCCAGCTCAGGACTACATCCTGAGGAAGCTGGAAGTGACACGTCTGGACCGGGTACGTCCAAACTCCTCTGCTGGCCTGGGGTCAGACCTTCAAAATAAAAGTCTCGCAGCATGTCTTTATTATTTAAAAGATGACTGACTTTTTTTAGACCAACACTTTAATTTGAATAATTAAAATAGTTAAATTTAAAAGAATGTTTTAGTTTTCATGTGTTTATTTGGAATTTGACATTTATAACAACATTTGTATAATTACAAAGACAAATCCGACTCTTTGGTTGTTTTATTTTTCACTATAGAAGGAACCTCTGAGGTTCATCTGGCACTACCAATACCTGAGTTGGCCCGACCATGGTGTTCCTGTTGAGCCTGGTGGTGTCCTCTGGTTCCTGGAGGAGGTCAACCGCACCCAGAGCACCATGAAAGACACCGGACCCATCGTTGTCCATTGCAGGTACTGAAGCTCTGCTGTTCCTGTAGAGCAGAAACACCATTTTTCACCATCTAGAGGTGAAAAAATGTATTGCACCTTAAGCCCCTCTCCCCGCTGATGTGATTATTGCTGGAAGCAACGCCTCTTGGTCATGAGTGTACCTCCAGCCGGACAAAAACAGAGCTAAATCACATTGTTTTGCAGTTGTTGTTCTCACGTTATGTTTATTCATATTTTTCTAAAGGCTTAATTGTCCATTTGAATTGTTGCCAACTCTACATCTGTCTTTGTACGTTTGCAATGGCGTGCACTCGTGAAAGCCGTTGATTTATGCTGAGCATTAGGGGTTAGGGTTAGGGACGTAAATCACGACACAGGGTAAGCGTATCACTTTTACGGATATCTAAAACATCATAGATGATTCCTGAATGGGGGAAAATTCCAGATTGCTGCTTCAAGAGAGTTTATGTAGAAAGGCAAACATTTTCTAAATCACCAGTAGTCATGAAATCCTGAGTCATTATGATGGAGGCCACCTTTTTCAAATACTTTTAAATGGAAGAAGCTCGAAGTCTTAAAATACTGTGAAGTATAAAAAGGCCTAAATAGTAGAAAACTAGTTCTAGGTGCTGATAAAGGAAAGGGGATGCAGTTAGAAAGCAACAGAGACACTAAAATACTGAGAAACACAGGTTGTCACAAGGAGGTCAAAGGTCACCTGTGTTTATTTCACCTGCAAACGTTGGAGCTGCAGCGCTCCTGTGGTCAGGTCTGACTGATGGAGGAGAAACGTTTGGTGTGTGAAGCAACGACCTGACATAAGACAAAAACACTTTACTATAAGGGTCCCTTTATTAACGTCACGTAGTGAATTATTAAGCATTAATAAACAAACATTCCCATTATTATTAAGCGTCCTTAAGGTTAGGACAAAGGGACAGGGAGGGAAGGGGGTCTGCCTAGTAAAGCATTACTTAATACTACCCTTATTTTAAAGTGTTGCCCAAAAATGTTGTTTTTTACATAAAAATGTTATTTGTTCAGAGTCAAAATGAAAGAATGAAACTGACGAAGTACTTTAGACCCTAAACCTCACCTGTACACGTTGGTGTGTCTGGTCTTTCCTGCAGGAGGAGAATAATCCCAGCACGTCTTTCTGGATAGTTCTGCATTAATAAACCCACCAGCTGCACGTTGGTCTTCTTCCTCTGCAGAGATTCACGCACAAGATTAGGATTTACTAATTGGACCACTAGGTGGTGCTAAAGTTAAGATTTAAAGTAAAACTAGAGTCGTTTTTTTTTATCATTGTTAGAGTAACTTTGTGCTCGATCACTTTTACATTTTATTTAAGTTACAAGTTTAAATATTCTGAATTGATCTTATAAACTCAAAATGACGGTTTGGAGGTATGAAAGCCACGTGAGTTTATTATTTAAGTTTCAGGAGGATAGTTTGATGACAGAGTTATGAAGTTTTTATTTACGGTTTATTTTTGTTGCTAAATTTATTCTGTTTGATAGAATTTTGTCAGATGAATTAATATTTTAACTGTGAGCTCTGCCATCTTTTCTGTGAACCGTGTCTTTTTCAGGATCCCGTGGTTACCTTTATTTTTTTTAATCATATTTTTTAGGAAATTTAGTTTTTTATTATGTTATTTTTTTAATCACTCTTTTATTCTTTTTGATTGTATTGTTCTTGTCAAGAGCCTCCTGATTTTTATCTTGAGACGCTATAAAAACGTTGTTTCTTCTTCTTAAACAAAAGATAGTTTCATTTTATTGCTGCCAAAAAATTTATGTACGTGGAAATTAAACTGGTAGCAACATTGTTGTTGTGATGCAGCAGCCAGAGGAGATGAGTTTGGTTTTCCTCTGAAACAAAATGTTGCAAGATCCATTGGATGTTAATAATCAGGTCCATTACACCAACAGCATACAGAATGCAACTAAAACTCATAGAAAATATTGAATAAAAGCAGAAAAGCAGCAATTAAAGAGAGACGATGAAACATTTTCATATTTTTTAAATCATTTTCTTAGCCAGTATGAACTAAAATGACCCTTTACAAGGTTAATGAAAGGCCACCCAGCCCCCTGTGGCCTGAATACTCCACTTGCAACGTCAGACTGACGGACCGCACTGTTGGACTTAGAAAAAAAATGGAGCTGACATACCTGGAGCTGCAGTCTGCTTCCAGCACGTTTCCTGCATGTTTTGGATTATGAACACAGCTGATATGTTTAATTTACTGATGAATCACTCCCGTAGGCGCTAATGAAGGCCGGAAGCCGTTTCAGCTGTTAGATTAACGTGTTAAAAGGACGAACGCACAGCGACGAGACAGGTTTTGCTTTCGGTTCTACTAAACACACTAGGGACGCTAAAAGCAAGCTAAAACTGCCTATAGTCTCCTTTTAAACAACAAATCAATCATTTTCCCCCTAAATCTTTAAATTTAATTTTCTATTTCTGTAATGACCTGGGCTTTTGTGAAGCTATTTATTTACTTCAAAGCTTTTTTCCCCCGTGCAACTGATTTCAGTTCATGGTTTTAAATCTTTATGGGTTTTTTTCTCTACAGCGCAGGAATCGGGAGAACTGGCACCATCATCGTCATCGACATCCTCATCGACATCATTAGACGACAAGGTGAAAATCTGACTCTGCGTAATTAATTTAAAGGTCAAGTTCACTGAGAAACCACTTTGACTTGTTATTTTTCAAACATGATCAGTCACTCTGAGTTTCAAAAAGTCTTCTACCCCTATTTTCTGCGTTAGCCACTACTAGGAAACGGGCAGTAAAGCGCTCGCATTAGAAAAAACCACTCAGATCTATGTCACACTGGAAATTAGCATTAATGGACTCACCCATCTTGTCTCATGACCATAGAAGGCTTAAGGTTTAGCTTCCAGGAAAGAGCAGAGCACGTCTCTGCTATAGAAGCTAACCGTTAGCATTAGCAACTCCACAACACAGCAGAACTCCTCCAGGCTTCTTTTATTTGTAAACGTAAAACATCAACGTTGCAAAGCAAACAGAGTCAGTGGCAGAGTCACGTTGCTGTTAGCCAATCAGAGCAGAGATGTCTACTTCCCGAAACAGGAGCACCAGAGCTTTTTCCCACAGAGATCAACTGGTATGCCTCTTTTATAAGACAGACCATCGCGTCATTACAGAGGGATAAATCTGAATTTGTGGGTCTCGTGAAAGCGGCAAGGAGCAAAGGGGAAAGGTGATAAAACTCGATTCTGATGCGCTTAGCCTCGTAGTAATATCGCCGCATGAGCCCCTCGCCTCTGACGGCTAAACGCGTGTCAGCCCCGCTAATCCCTTTGGAGTGACCCCCCCCCCCCCCCCCCCCCCGCAAAAGAGGGTGGTCGCGTTAGTGACGTATACTGCACGCCGAGTGCCGGCCGGAAGGGATGTGAACACAGATAAACATGGCCTCTCACTAGTATCTTTCAACCACCTACAACATGGCAAACTGGACGGACGCGGAGACCATGGAGCTTTTGGCCGTGCGAGCGGACGAACAGATTAGTCGCCTTTTTATGGGGACGGTGAGAGACAGCCAGCTGTTGGACAGAGGGGTGAAAACACTGGCTGAGCGGGGCGTCAAGCGGGACAAAAAGCAGGTCACATCAAAGCTAAAGGTCTTCCGTCTGACGCTGAACGCGCGACCCTGTACATCCCATGCGGGGGGGCCGCCCAGCGACCTCCCTTTATCCCGTCTTGGTTGGAGAGGTGCCTGATGGCAGTTTATTCTAACTTCAGCTTTGCTACTATAAATGCCAAAATCCTCCCCAGGGATCCGCGGCAAATCCCGTGTTGCAAACGCTATGGTCCTGTAAAAGCAGCTGTAAGGTGTTCATTTACACTAGAGATGATTGCAAATGTGTTAAAAACCTGAGTGAGTGAGAGCTATGACTCTGCATGTGTGTGATCTAGGTCTAGACTGTGACATCGATGTCCCAAAGACCATCCAAATGGTGCGGCAGCAGAGGTCGGGCATGGTCCAAACGGAGGCCCAGTATAAGTTCATCTACATGGCGGTGCAGCAGTTCATCGACACGGCCCAGAAGAGACTGGAGGAGGAGCAGGTGAACTTCTAATTAGGGGAGGAGGACAGAAAAACAGCCTTTTGCCTGACTCGGTGTGCATGATTGGTTGATTTAATCTGTCCTTCAGAGGAGTAAGATGAAGGAAAGAGAATATTCCAACATCAAATATCCTCAGATGACCAACTCGAGGTCCAAGCACAACATGGCGTCTTCACGATCGTCTTCTGTGTAAGTATGTCACTGAAAATAAATAATCGTTTAAAGATCGGATCGCTGAGACAAATCTAAACTTCCACCCTAAACGCTTTTGTCACCATAGAATGACGAATGACGATTCTTCGAGCGTGTACGAGAACATTAACTTCAAAACTCCTCAGACGTCTTTCAGCAGCAACACCAGGAGGTAAAACTGTCGCTGTGGAACGCCGCTTCTCTCTTCTCTTGTAAGTCTTTATTATCATTTAAATGATTTATATCCCTGTCTGTGATCCCATCTTGTAGTTTCATTGTTTCTGGGTCAAAGGGCGCCGTAGGTTTCATTCCCGCGCCTCAGTGTCTTTTTCTGCTGACGTTTCCCCGTGAGTCTGGTAGACCTTCAGCGTTTATTTCAGCGTCTGACGCATCTGATAGGCTCAGAGGTGACTTTCTGACTTGTTTTGCTCCAAAGCAACACCTAGGCTGTGATGGACGTACGTCGAACTGAACGCTGAAGCTGAGCTCACAGGAAGACCGAGATGAGACATCAGTGGGCTTTCAAAATAAAACACAAGTTCACTAAACCGAGGGAGGGCTTGCGCTGAGCCAATGTAGAGGAAACTCTGGTCCATATATTCTTTGATTTTATTTGTTTATTTCTATCTGATCTTTAGTTTTTCTTCTAGTAAGATTTAGGAGATTTTACGTTTTTTTTACTGCAGGGTGGGACATTAGCTTGTATACCTGAAATAGAGCCCTGCACGGACCTAAAATCTGAGCCCGTGTCCGGCCCGGCCCTGCCCGAGGGGGTGGAGCCCCAGCCCGACCCGGTCCGAAAAGGTTTTCAGGATTCTCTGGCCCGACCCGAGCCTGACTTTTTGTTTTAACCAACTAAATGAAAACAAAGTGCGTCAATCCTGACCAATGTGTTAAAAGACGTGCAGGATCCGATCAATTTGTTTTTCCCTCATTTACCGTCACGGAGATAACGGTGCACTGGCTCTGGTGGTAATCAAGTTAAATTTTATCTCTTTCCAACAATTTTCACAAGAAAACAAAACAGTTGAAAGCAGGGCATGTGTTGTGTTGACCGGATAGTTCCCGTATTTGACTGTTTATTTTGACGGAGAAAGAATAGAAAGAATTACCCCGACGCATGCAGACGAACTGACATTTTATTCGTTACGCACATCGCAGATGTAGCTAAATCACCCAAGAAAAGATTCCCATCTGAACATCTGAGCTGGACACTGCTCAGCACAGCGAGCTGAAGTTGTGGAGAGGGACTTGGAGCGCGTCGCAGAACCAGAGCGCATGCGGGAAGATTCCTCCCACTGAAGCGAATGTTTTCCAAACCCTGTCTCTCAGAGAGACTTGTCACTTAGAAAATGTTCCTGATTATGAAACTTTGGCTGAATAGCGCTTGTTCCTGTCTCCAATGTGGCGACGCATCCAGGAGCCGCCTGAGGAGAAGCCCAGAATCTCACATCTTCAGCTCAGGAAGCGCCTATGATTACGCACAAGCGTAACGCGTCAACCCGGTCTCACAGTAAGACCGGGTTGGAACTGTTCAGGTTTACGCAGACAATCTTTACATAGAATTGACTTACAGATATAAAATTAATTCAGTAAAATATAAAGCATTTTATTTAAATATCCATTCATTATTTTACAAGCACAAAGAGCCGCATCAGATGGATGGAAGAGCCGCGGGTTGCCGACCCCTGATATAGCCTATAAAATGACATTTTTTCTCCAGGACCAGAGAGGACACAAACTCAATACATATCTTTTATTGTGAGGTAATAATTTCTCCGAGTTTTGCGGTTGTGGGCGGGAGTAGACATGCATGCTGAGGGTGCGGGCGGGAGTGTAACACACACGTTGCAGTTACGGGCAGTAATTGTCAGAAATTCAGCGGGAGCGGGATGAAGAACAGTCCCGCGCAGGGCTCTACTGCTGCGTTTAAGTGTTTCAATTTTTTTATGAATTTGAATAAAAATAAAGGCGCCCGGCCCGTGTCCGAGGTAATTACACAATCGTTGGCCTGAAGCCCGGCCCTCGGGCCGTCAGGCCGGGCTTCAGTGCAGGGCTCTAACCTGAAACACACGTTTATTCTCATTTTTAAAAAGGCACTTTAGGGATTATTTAAAGGGGCATTATGGAAGTTTGACAGCCAAAACATGTATAGAAATAATAAATGTCTTCTTCAGACATTCTCCTGCAATGCCCTGGTCCTGTAGAATGAGCCCTGGCATTTTTACTGTGATTGCCTGTTTTTCTGTAAAATCACAGAAAAAGAGAGATGCTCGGGTCGAGCAGGCTGCTTCATGCGCGTTCACGCTCAGGCATCGCCCGTAGCATTTGCTATCCGTAGCTTTAGCAGCAGAGAGAGAGGTAGTGCCACTTTGTTGCTGTTCCTAACGCCTAGTGACAAACCTAGCTACATTTCTGAGGACCCTTAGCTACTTTCTGTAGAACTTTCTTCTAGATATTTCCTGCAAATTAGCAACAAAATAGCCATTTTCGCTTTGAACCGTTCTTTGAACTTTGTTTCAGGTGTCATCAAGGATATAAATGCTACAGATACAAAAGATGTTATTGGCGTTTTAGCTCACCTAGTAAGACGTTGGACTCTTGTGCAGAAGATCCGGATTCGATTCTGGGTGTGAACATAGTTCATGTAGAGTTTCTTTTTTACATTAATGATATATTTTTTTACAATAAGATGCCCAAATTTTTATTTGAGACTCGCCGAACGGCATTGAATTCACAGATAAAAAAGATGTGGGTTCTACTTTCATTTTGGAACAATTTTTCAAGCAAGGGAAGGGAATGATCTGAGCATGCAGGAGGACTGACGCATCATAAACCTTTGTCGGCTGTGCTGAAGAGAAAGGTACAGAACCAAATTATTTAATTAATTAGCTGCACGTCCTCCTGTCCTCTGTCCTCTGGGCCACACACACACACACACACACACACACACACACACACACACACACACACACACAGGACTGACTGTCTCAGCTATTATTTTCATTAAGGAGTGTGCACATACAGCATGCGCGCCTCATGCACGAGTCTACTATTGAAGCTGTCGTTATGCTTTTGGCCTGAGGGGGCAATCACGAGCATAAAAATTCAAAACTCCGTAAAGTCCCTTTAAACTGAAAAATCGTGTTTTTGACTGTGGATTATTCCTGTTTGTTGGTGTTTTCCACATAATGATTCAGATCTTACTGTTTTTTGCAGAGGTGCATCTGAATTTCCTTGGAGCATGGGGGGGGGGGGGATGGGTGACGGGAGCATGGTGCTCTAAGGTGACGAGCTGAAAACCCCCCGAACCCTCCCCGCATCTCTGTCCTGCTGAAGAAGCACGGGGCCCTCAGCCGACCCCCTCACCCCCGCCGCCTCCAGACTAACTCCCACCGAACCAACTCTTGTGCCTTGTGACGGGATGAGTCTGTAATCCAGCCTGGAATCTGCTCCGTCGTGGTCTTTACAGAGCTGCACAGGACCTGAGAGAAGGTCAAAGCTTTTTGTGGCCAGAAACCACCCTGCTGATTCTCCTGCTCTGTTTCTGCTCACTCTCGTTTGAACTGGAACCCTCGACTGGTGGCTACTAACGCGGCTGCAGGCCGAGGCCAGCGGCAGCAACCTCCTACAGGGTCACGAGGCTCAGGAAGGGCATGCAAGCCCTCTATCCTTAAGAATTTATTTCACTCTTTGAGTGGACTCTTGTTTTTGAAAGAGATGTGACTGATTATAAAGCGTTCTGTTTAATAATCCCCTCTGCTGTTTTGTGACACGACCCGAACACCTTTTTTATTTTAAATAACCGTTTTATTTGTTGGTCAAATATCTTCGTTGGAAAAAAAGAATTTAAGAATTTTTTTGTCTTTTTTCTGTTATTTTGTGGTTTTACTGTGTATGAACTGGATATTCTAATGTTGTAAATTGATCATGAGATTGTTTATTTAAATATAACCAACATATGTTTGAAGGAGCTTTATGATGGATGAGATAACTAAACAACCTCTAGAATTTGGATTTGGTTGAAGAGGAACCCCTGAGGCATGGGTGGTGCTAGGGGTGGGGCCACAGGGGCATTGCCACCTGCTGAAATCTGATTGGCTCCCTGAAGTGCCCCTGCACTGACATTTCATGTCATGATCTGATTATATTGGAAGCAATTCCAAATCCAAGCGCTATTGTGAGGATGCTGGACTAATACTTGACCCCTTAATGGCCCCGTACTCAGAAAAATCCTAGATCCGCCAGTGCCCTGTGGTTTGCTCGATGTCGCGTCTTCGGCGTGACTCGCCATCCTCGTGCTGCAGGTCTGACGTGGTTTGGCATCTGTCGGAGCGAGATTGTCACAAGAAGACTGGGGAAAAGGAAGGGGAGATTACAGCACACCAGATGGCCGTCTGCCTGAGATTAAAGAATAGATTTGTCTCCAAAAAGTAATTTAGAAGACGGCTATAATCCAGGTTTTGATGACAGCAGGGCGAGTCGGCGGACGTCATTCGTGTGATGAGTCGCCAGCATCTCTGCTGCTGTCTGGCTATTTTTAGCCCTCAAGAATCAGCACCAGAATAACCCGCTTTAAGGAAAAGTTGGATTCTGCCGCAACTTCTTACTGTTTCGAAATGTTCATCAGGCTCCTTCAGACCAGACGCACACCTCACCATGGCGACGACCCCCCCCCCCCCCCCCACACACACACACACACACACACACACACACACACACACCAACTGCAATGCAAAGAAATGCACCCAACTACAGCTCAGGAAGAACTCAACAGAACCAAATGGACCCTCCACTTACTTTCAGGTACCAGGAGTCCCAGAACTGCAGATCATCCTAAAATTCATTTCAGGACCTACTTTACTTTAAATCTAAGTTTTTATCTAAAATCTCAAATTAAACCAGAAATCAGAGACTTCTACCTTCCCCCTGCAGGAACATAAATGGGCCAAGGACACACACAGAACCCACACACACCTTACTTTCTTACACACTGCCATGCCCGTTCGACAGATTAGACAAACCCTGGATTTGATGCTGATGATTGTACCCTGCAGCAGCCATATCGTTCTTAAAGCTTTGTCTGGATGATTTTTCAGGCTTTTCTTGATACATTTTTTTATTTTTGTGTAATCAAAGCTCCGGTCTGCCGCCGCCGTGTCGGAAAAGGCCAACAGGCTGCACTACTTGGTGCTCTTCAGTTTTGTTTTGATGAATAAGCCACAATTTGTGGATTGTTTTGATTTTTTTCTCTTCCTGGTCATTCTCTGACCCGACCTCGCCTCTTATTGGTCAGTTGTGTATAATTTGGTGAAGCATTTGTACTTGAATCAGCAGAACCGCTCGTCTCAGGCTGTGTGGATGTTTTTATGATTGTGCATTTTTGCTGTGCGTGTAAATGTTCTCCCTCGGTTACTTTAAACAAATTTTAGCAACGTCAGATTGCTTCTTTCTATTTTATCTTTTGTTATCTGACTTTTGCAGAGGTATGCAGCCATGACGCGGTCATCCTCTTATGTTTACTTGAACAAGTGATTTGTTTTTGGTTCCTCCTCCCTGTCGGTTTGCAGAAAGCCAGAAGTGAGTCGTGGTTTTCAAAGTGCTCCCTTGTCCTTGTTTCTTCTTCTTGCTCTGGCCAAATGCCTTTTTTTTTTGCAAAACAGGCATCTGCTGATGCAATGATTTGCCTAAATGGCACTGAAATGGATTATCATACAGATTAATAATAAATAATATGATGGCACACTTTAATTATTGTATTTCTTTGATTTTTCCATCCGTTATCTTGTTCTTATCCAAGGACAGGTCGTGGGTGTGACCTCCCAATGGGAGTTGCCTGAAACATCTCCAGAGGACAGTGATCCAATCAGACGCTACCTCAGCTGGATCCTTCTGATGCAGTGGAGCAGCGTTTCTACTCCATGATCCCTTTGGATGACAGAACTCCAAACCTTTTCTCATGGCTGAGCCAAGCCACCCAAAGAGGAGCCTCGTTTCAGATGCTTTAATCCAGGATCTCATCCTGTTGGTCATGACCTACATCTCATGATCACTGGTGAGGGTTGGGTAAATGATAGAGTTGCCTTTTGACTCGGCCCCCTTTTTACCAACACCGGAGCTTCGCCCACCCTGAGCTTGGATGTGTAAAGATATTTTAGAACAGGGGTGTCAAATATGCGGCCCGCGGGCCGGATACAGCCCGCAAGCAGGTTAAATCCGGCCCGCGAGATGGTTGTGAAAACTTTATTTTCATACTTTACAATGTAGAGTTAAAATAAACTTATCTTTGTGAGCAAGTTTTCTCTGTAATGAGTATAAATAAAACAAAGCTGCGCTCAAGGCTCACACAAGAACTTGAATCACATCCTGAAGTTGGCCGCCACTCAGGATGTGACTTCTGATAGTGATGTGCTGGTGAAAGCTAAAAGATGTAAAGTAAAATGAGTCAAATATACTTTAAGTGCTGCATGAAATTGATTTAGCCATGTGATCTGTAAGCTCTTTGAATCACTAAGGAATGTTTTATTTATTGATTGATTTTTTTTTATTTTTTTCACATTTTCAAGTACACTTCAGGTGTTGTACTTGTACTACACTGTCCTCAGGCTCCAGCCTTGTTTTATATTGATTGTATTAAAACAAAGAAAACAATCTGAAGTTGTTGTTTTTTTTTATTTACCGGTCCGGCCCACTTGGGACTAGATTTCCCTCAATGTGGCCCCTGAGCTAAAATGAGTTTGACACCCCTGTTTTAGAGGATTTCCTGTTACTTGAATTATTTTGCCTCTGGCTAAAGTATCATTTGTTACTCTGTTTAAGAACGGGACAGATTTTACTGAAACATTCAGAAAGTAATCACTAGATCAGGCGTTCCCAACCTTTTTTCCTAGAGGACCCCTTGCCTTTGTCCAAAACAAGCCAAGGTCCCCCCAGCGCCAACCCCTACCCACAAGTACGATGAATCAGAACATTTATACAGACACAGAGGTCTAACTCGTATACGGAGTTCCTGCAATCTTGTGGGGCCCCCTTGGGGGTCACACGCCCGAGATTGGGAACCACTCCACTAGATTACAAGTGCATCTTTTTAAGTTTACGCCATTCAAGATGGTCGCCACAGTCACCTGACCTCAGAAAACACAACAATGTTGAGAACTCAGTGATTTTTACGTGTATTGAGCTCAGATTTGATGCATTAGTAACTAAGAATAATTCACAACACAACTCTATATAGCAGCAATGAGCTTAATGCTTCTTTGTAAAGACTTTAGACATTAGATGACAGAAATGTTGCTGTAATAAAAACTGAAAAATCCCTTTTCAGGAAGAACGATCTTTACTACGGTTGAAAGATGTGAAGATGACTGTGTGCTGTACCCGCCAAACAAGTCCGGTTTAAGGGTTGTGGTGCAAAATTTAGCAAGAAGGAAAAACCCTCGTTGTGAGTTTATGAGTTTAATGTTTAACCGGGTTTCCTGGCAGCGCAAACGGTGTCAAAGGAAGTTACACATTTATGGGCATTTCTAAATAAAATTCTAAATTTAAAACCACTCTTATCAGGTGCAAATACCTGCTGAGTAAATTTGGAAATCCCAATGTCTTTCTTTTCCTGATTGACGCACCTCGACCAGGAATGAATCCAGACAACATCCTGCCCGAGCAAAGGAAAGACGCACTCTGTCGGCCACGGGGTAAGAAAATGCAGGACGAAGAAATCCCAGAACAGTTTACTGAATCCGCTCACACAGATCAACACGACAACCGGCTTCCTATGGGGCGACGGTGGCACAGGAGTTAAGCGCTCGTCCCGTAATCGGAAGGTTGCAGGTTCGAGCCCCGCTCAGTCTGTCGCTGTCGTTGTGTCCTTGGGCAAGACACTTAACCCACGTCGCCTGCTGGTGGTGGTCGGAGGGACCGGTGGCGCCAGTGCTCGGCAGCCTCGCCTCTGTCAGTGCGCCCCAGGGCAGCTGTGGCTACATCGTAGCTCATCTCCACCAGTGTGTGAATGGGTGAATGACTGATTGTGTTGTAAAGCGCCTTGAGGGGTTCCAGGACTCTAGAAGGCGCTATATCAAATACAGACCATTTACCATTCCTTCCACAATCAGTGTTGACAAAATAAATCTCATAAATCAGAATCAGTCTTGATGTTTTGACGTGGCGACGTCACTTTTCATGGTTCTGTAAACAAAAACATATCAAAACGCACAATCAAAGGCACAGTACTCAAAGCTCTCGGTTGGCACACCTGGTTCATGTTCAGTCTGTCATGTGACAAACCTTTTGTAGCCAGCTGGAGATTTAAAACAAAGCAAAGTTCACATTTTGATGATGTCACAGTAAATGTCACGTAGCTCCTCTGTTTGGCCCGGATACGGCAGCGGGTTCGTTGCTAAATGTTTAGCAGACACTTGCAACACAACTTGTAGCTCGAGTCATCTGAATTGGTGAGCGACGTTTTCTTATTTCATCCTTTTTCCAAACCACTTTATCCTCAGTAGGGTCGCTGGAAGCTGGTGGCTACGTCCAGATGTCACTGGATGAGAAAGGACAACCTGGACAATTCACCAGTCCATCCCAGAGACAAACAACTAGTCACACACTCACATCTAGGGAACTAGGGATTTGGGGTCGCCAATCAACCTAACATACATGGTTTTGGTCTGTAGGAGGAAACGGGAGCACCCGGTGAAAACCCACACATGCACACGGAGAATACGCTAACTCCATAGGATTCAAACCAACAACCTTTACACTGCAAGGCAACAGTCCTAACAACTGAGCCACTGTACAATCAAATATATTTGGACTAAAGTGCAAAAAGGCGTCTCGATCATCACTCCTGTTAGACGTAGTTTATGCCTGGCCTGTGCTCATCCGGAGCGCTTCACGTGTGCTCTTCAGTCGGACCAGTTCGTCCATGTAAAAGGTGGGTGTGTGTGTGTGGGGGGGGGGGGGGGGGGGGGGGGGGCAATCGGTGTTCAGCTGAAAGTTTCCAGTTGGGACAACTAGATGCTCTTATCCTTTCTGACCAGACATCCTGGTGATGGGAGTAAAAGGAGTGGTTGTAGTGGTGGTAGTGGGGATTTGCTGTCGATCTCTAATGCAGCGCATGTTTCCAGTGCTGAATATGCACTGCAGAGGCCACAAGACAACTACAATGAGCAGCACCATGAGTGCAATGAAGAGAGCCATCCTCTTCCAGTCTGACAGCCTGCTCATCAGGCTGTGAGTCCTGGGCCTCGTCTGGACAGGAGTGTCCACTGACTTATTGGCCCCGATGTCAACGCAGATGCAGAAGGCCGTGGGACTGTCGGGGGCACCTGAAAAGGCATTCTGACTGGAGCTCTTGTAGCACAGCTTTTCTCCCTCCAGCCACACTGGCTCCTCGTGCTGCTGGTGGACGGGCAGTTTGCAGAGCACCTCGCGGCTGGTGGCCAAGGCTGGGGGTCCCTCTTCTGGCAACATGGTGGGGTGACGGCAGAAGGGGCAAGACAGGTGCATGCTTCCACTGCTCTCATCCGGGTCGGATAGCGAGACTGCCATGAGACGGGAAAGGCACTCGAGACAGAAGGTGTGGGTGCACTCCAGCAACTTTGGCGTTTTAAAGATATTGTCATAGGTGTTGTAGCAGATGGAGCACTCTGGCTGGCTGGCCACCGACACTTTCTTTTGCACCTCTCCTGGCACTTCCTGGGGTGGGGCTTGCATGTGCCAAATCCGAGTATTCTGTTCCATTTTCAAACGTGTGTCTCTTCCTCTGGTTTGTGCTGCCTCCTTCAGACTGCCAGCTGTTTTTGTCCTTATTGGTCAGGTTAATTCCTGGATTGTCTAAAGAGGACGAATTAAAGGCAGAGATTAGTTAATATGCCTCACATGATTTCTTTTTGTAGTTACTTACGGCCAAAGAGCAACATCTAGTCACCGTCACACAGATGTTTAAAAACACATCAGCCCAGGTGTGGACACGTCTGACAGCCGTGGGCCTTCCTAATTAGGACAACATGTTTCTAATGGAGGCTCTCAGTGATTTCATCAGAATGTGAAACGCAAACAAGACTCATCCTAATCCCAACATACATCAGAGACAAAATCCATAAGCTGTAGGAAGTTCAGCTATGAAAGCACACCACTAAATGGAAAATGGGTTTTGTTTTTACTTGCTAACAATTTTCCTACAAACACGATGCACAGGGTCCTTTTCCACATCTCCTTTCAGTCCGCCTGAAGGCCCGCCGTTCCACTTGTGTAACCAGCTCAACTGTCAATCGGCTAGTGATGTGTCGGTCGCGAACGAACCGGCTCTAAGAGCCGGCTCTTTTGAAGTGAACGACGGGAGCCGTCCCCTGCCCTCTTACTTTGGTGAAAGCTACAGGCGATTGGTCAGCATGTGTAACTGCGTGTCCAGACTGTCCACTCACAGAGCAGTAGGGGTGGGGAAGAGGGAGGATCAGACTCAGACACACAGCAGAGCACATGCGGGTGGAGGGAGACGAGAGGAAATGAGGAGGAGGAAAAAGGCGAGCGAGAGAGGAGAGTGCAACGAGGACGGTGAGAAAATGAGCGCCAGCAGTCGGAAAGTTGAGATTTCTTAAAGTGTTCAGTTATTAAGTCCATAGAAATGATAAATATTTGATATATTGCATATTTTTACATTAGTAAATCATTTTACATATAGTTTTGCTTTATTTTGTTTATAAATGTACTCTACGCAACAGAAAATCTGAGGAGCCACTTGGGAGCCAAAAGAACCGGCTCTCCAAAAAGAGCCGGAATTCCCATCACTACAATCGGTGGTCGAGCTAGCTCCCTATCCAGGCTGCCAACTCTCAGGCAGGAGCGGTGGACCCCCTTCACCTGCTCTGATGCCACACTTCCCTATGCCCCCCCACCACACACACACACGCACAATGAAGGGAGGCAACAATATTTCTATCTTCTATTTTTGCAAAATTTTTAGAGTTGAGATGCCAAAGGTCAAAACTCTGCTCCGGTCTGCTTCACGTGTTAATTTAGGCTCTTGGGGAAAACTGATAACACTGAAAAAGTGAAGGTGTGGCTAATTTGCATGGAGGATACGTGCTAACTGGGATAGCGCTACGGTAGCCCTGACGATTTGTGCTTTCATTGTCTTCTCAAAAAATATTTTTTTTATTTATTGTCTCTTTTATTGTTTAGAGCTTTATTCTCTTCATTATTCCTCTTCTGGCACCTCTGTTTTATCCAACATGTTCTTTGTTACTCATCGTTGTTTTACTTCACCCGTCTTTTCAACTCAACTAAACGAACATGACGAGTAATAATGAAATAAATATTGATCGCTTAAATAAACAAACAAAACACAAACGGCCTGTCAACGTATGCCTTTTTATTAGGCTTCAATCCAAAAGTTATGCATGGTGTGTGTGTGTGTGTGTGTGTGTGTGTGTGTGTGTGTGTGTGTGTGTGTGTGTGTGTGTGTGTGTGTGCATCTTCACTAATGCAGGAAGCTAATCAAACTTACACGATGTGGACTGTGTCATTTTCATTTTAGCGTAATTTTAAACATAAATGCTCACATGAAGGTTTTATGCAAGACTGCTCCATCGTGGTTTTTCCTGTTGGGGCAGTTTTCAGGCACAGCAAGCAGGTACCAACGTCCGCTGGTACACTGTGTCCTGTGTCCCCTTGCCCTGAGCAGCTGATGAAAGACTGTTCTGAGTCATTTATGAGGGAATGTTGTAAACTGAAGATGTTTTATTTTACATCCACTCTCATCCGTTTCCAGATTCTAATAAAGTTTGGATCTCTGCTCTTATACCTGGAACTTGAGCTAAGAAGAACATTTCAGTAAATTGAGGCTCTAATATGTCTAAAATGTAAATAACATCTGAGTTTGGTGATAATGTTTAGAATCATTTATGTGAAGGAAGTTGAGTTGGTTTGGTTTTATTTTAGACTTTGTTTCTGAGGATGAAAGCTTCGGAACAGGTGTTCTCCTACTGAGCCTTCAGGGTGGATTTTAACCCGGTTCTCCTCTGTACACAAAGTCTCCACTTGTTCTCCATCTAATCGCTCCATCTACCCTTCACATTCCTGCATTACCAACTCTCCGTCCTCATCCCTGCTCAATTAGAGCGTGCTTCACAAGGATTAGGACAGATTTCTTTCCCTTTGTCATTATACACCGTATCAGTTTCAAAACATACTGAACTATTCCTTTTGACACTTTTTCTCCCTCTTTTCCTCAAGCGGGGAGTCAGTTATTGGGTGTGGTCCTTTGTGGTTACCTCGACACGAGGAACGGTTGCTACCAACGATGAAAAAGGCACCTGCGCTTAATTGATGTGCAGCCAACTGAAAAATTCTCTGAAGCACATTTTGTCAAGTTTAAATATTTACAAAGCTGTTAAACCTGCTTAGGCAAAAACATATAAATAAAAATTACCTGGAGTACTAATGTATAACTATAGCTATATAGATGGGGTTGAGCCAGCATATTTTTCACCTTCCATCCTTCCCAGACATTTCCCCAGACTCTGGAACTCTCTCCCCCTGAGCCTGAGATCAGTGGACTCAGTGGTCTCCTTTAAAAAGCAGCTGAAGACTCACTTGTTCAAGCTGGCTTTTGTATGACCTTCTTCACCACTCTCTCTTTATTCTGCTCTCCCCACCTATTCCACCTTCCTCAGGATCCACTGATTTCCCTCTTTCCTGTTCACTCTCTCCATTTCTTAACATTTTTTTAATCACAATTGTCTATTTTTGCTCATTTTAAATATATTTTTAAACATTTTCTAAATTCTTTTTTATATTTTTACATTTTTTGTTTTTGTGAAGCGCCTCGTGATTTTTATCTTGAGAGGCGCTACAGAAATGATATTTTCTTCTTCTTCTTCTTCCCAGAACTCCTATCGTGGAAACACGGCCATTCTCTGTTTCTCCGCTTTGAGGCTGTTTACAGTTGCTCATTAAGTTCTCCAGAGAAACCATCGCCAGCAGAAGGTTAAAGTGTTTTCTGTGGTAATTGAACTTAGAGGTAGAGGACCGACACACTGTTTGGAGGTGAAATTTAAAAAACAAATTTGATATCCGCTAAACCAAAAGAATGGAGGAAAGTCTTTCCTACAAAAGCCTTTGGGCTGCTCATTTGTAGGCTAATGCCCTCCAGCACCAGCAGGGTCAAATATTAACTCAGACTGTCAAGATGATATATCAGAGTCAGACTTTGGGTGGGTCTCTTTATTGTCCAGTATTCTGCTTTATGGTTCCTGAAACCAGCAGCTTGTTTTCCTCCCCCGCCGCCCCACTGACCCAGGGGTCACAGCTCATTTGGAGAATTAAAGAAGTGAATGCGAAGTTGCTACCGGCTCATTTAGCAGCTCCCCTGAGTCTTTCTGTGTCTGTATCCTGTCCAACTGCCAGCCACGATGCTGCGCTACCTGTTTTCAGTTTCCAGAGCGAAGGAAATTCGATCCACCTGACCTGTGAAAGAGGGGGCGGGGGCCAATGGAGACGGTTTAACTGAATCTGAAGCTCGCTGAGGCAAAAACAAAGAGCATGATCTGACGTGTGTAAACAAACACACACCAAAAAAAAAAAAAAAAAAAACAGACAGACAGCAAAATGCAAAGACTCAGATTCCCAGCTAAATACTGACCTACTGCAGGTCAAGTTAGCTTTAATTCATCTTCATATAATAATTAACCTTTAACATTTAGTTTAACCCTGGTCCACTTTTTTACTTTAACTGCAGTTTAGAATTAAAATCTGATTCTTTCCTTGACAAAAGTCCAGATTTAAACAAAAACATCAAATAAAGCATGTTATGCCTTCAACCATAAAAATCGGCAAACGTATAAAAAAACTACACTGAAGACATTTAAGGGCTGAAGACGGTCGAGTTTACCTGCAGGAGATGAAGATGTCTGATGAACGTCTTCAGGATGTTTCTCAGCTCACTTCCTGTTCGCTTTAGGGGGCATTTTTTTGTGGTTTGAAACTCAGAGAGCCCATCCGGGAGTTTTTGGGAAAGCATGTGCTCCGGTTCAGATCCTCCCTCCTGGTTTGTTTGACAGTCTGCTGAAGTGTGTGTGTGAGAGTGGGTGTGTCTTTGTGTGTGTGTTCTGAGACTGGATCCTCCTTCCTCGGAGTCCGTTACCACCTGCCCTGATCTGTCAGCTCCTGTTTTGGTGCTCTATGCAAATGGAAAGTCTTGACCTTGGGGTGGTGGGGAGAGAAGAGGAGGAGGGGGAGGATGAAGCCTCGGGATGAAGGAAAGTTACACATTTTTGTCCTCCCAGTTTCTCCTTAAAGGCCGAGTTCACTGAGAAACCGTTTTTATGAAATATGATCAGTCACTCTGTTTTCATGTTCAGCCTGAATGTAAAACTCAGTTTTCCACCCCTATTTCCTGCGTTAGCCACCAATGGAAAATAGACGGGGAAACGCTCCGATTAGAAATGCTTGACAATTCCACGTCATATTGTCAAAAATGCGTTCATGGATTCACCCATCTTGGCTCACTACGGGGAAGACTGTTGATGATCTAGCATCCAGGAGAGAGCAGGGAACGTCTTGACTAGTAGAAGCTAATCGTTAGCATTAGCAGCTCCACAATGCGGCTAAACTTGTATTTGTGGGGATAAAACATCAACATGGAGATCGACTCACCAGGCAATCATTTATACAAAACCACCGCAAATGTGTCAAAAAAACAAGAGAACTTGTTATGTAAAGCTGCACCAGGGCAAGTCTGCAAAACAAGCTAGCTTTTAAACACGGCCACATCTACTTGGTACCGGAACCCGCATTGCCACAATAAACGAGAGAGCGCTAAACATCAATCTTCTTTTGCCTTCTGGTGTTTGTCCTGGTGGGACTCTGGTAGTTTGTCCTAAAGTTGAAGTGGTAGCAGCCGGCTGTTTCTCCTCTGATATTATTGAGCGGAGAACCTCTCACACCAGTGGTTCTGGTGCAAAATACATGAGTGTGTAATGAGTGGAGGACCCAGGGAAGTCCAGTGGTTTGGCAAGACCGACGATTTGGATGGGCCAATTTCCCCTTGGTCCAAAACGTGTTACTGGCAAAGGTTTTTGGACAATGCGAGAAAACCAATTCCATCCATCCAATTTCATCCACATTTTGGGTCACGGGGGCAGCAGCCTAAGCAGGGAGGCCCAGATTTCCCTCTGCCCAAACGCCCAAGGTGTTCCCTGGCCTGCCGAGAGACGTAGTCCCTCCTTGTCCTGGGTCTTCCTTTAGATCTCCTCCTGGTTGGATGTCTCTGGAAAACCTCACCAGGGAGGCATCTTAACCAGAAGCCTGAGCCACATCAGCTGGCTCCTTTCGATGTGCAGGAGAAGCAGGTCTACTCTGAGCCCCTCCCGGATGACCGAGCTTCTCACCCCACCTCTAACCCCTCCTTTATACCAGAGCCGTCAGCAGCACGTTACCGCAGCAGCACGTCTTGCTCGCGTAAGCTGCTGCTTGGCCCTTCCCACGAGACGCGAAGCAGCAGGGGAGCAGCCGTTACTGCAGCAGCACGTCATAGCTGCTGATAGGAACCGCTGTGGTCAACAGAACCTTTACCACGGAGCCGTCAGCGGCGCGAGTCGGCCGCGTCTCAGGAGCAGCATGTCGCGGCCCTTAGGCGCCAGTTCTATTTTCTAGGCGCGACGCCTCTGAAACGGGTCAAGTTCGACATTTTTGGGGAAGGAAAGACAGGAAATCGGATGCAGAAACGGATCGAAGCTCCCGAGATTTTCAGAATAAAGAAACGTACTGCCTTCCGGTTGCTTTACTTTAAAAAACAGTTACTAACTGTGCGGCCCCGTGAGAAGTTATCACCTAGCTAGCGGTCTCCTTTGTTTTTCAGGTCCGTATTGGTGATTATAAAACGGACAGAACATAAAACACAAACCTTTTGGAGCCATGTTGTAGTTTTCTCCTGCTTGTTGTTGTGTTTACTGACGAAGTCACTCGTGTGACTTCGTGCTCAGTCGGTGACAGCTGCTCCCCTGCTGCTTCGCATCTCGTGGGAAGGGCCAAGCAGCAGCTTACGCGAGCAAGACGTGCTGCTGCACTAACGCGCTGCTGACGGCTCCGGTGGAAAGGAGGGGTATAAGGGAGAGCCCAGACAACCTGCAGAGAAGACTCCTTTGGGCCGCTTTTATCTGCAAGCTCATTCTTTCGGTATAAGTGATGGTTGGTAGATCAGTCGGTAAATCAACAGTTTTGCCTTCCAGCTCAGCTCTCTCTTTACCACGAAAGACCGACACAATCATGGGTACAACGCCCGCATCGCTGCAGACGTAGCACCAATCCGCCTACCGATCTCACGCTCCATCTTTCTCTCACTCGTGAACAAGACGACAAGAGAGCCAAATCATTGTTATTTGCCACAATATATGTATAGCTAACTTTGTTAAGAGGCATAAAATGCTGTAAGCTAGCTTGTTTTGCAGATTTGCCACTGTAGCTTTAAGCTGCTACCAGTCTTTACTCACAAACACACATAATGTAAACACCCCACACCTACAGCACACACATCGGAAGGCAATAAAGCCTTAAACAGACCTTAGTGCAAACTGGTTTTCTGGGAAATAATAAATTCTGGTCTGCAAATGAAGCTCCTTTTGTCCCCCCAGAGTCATCAGACAGAGCCAGACTTTCACTGAGGCACAAAAGCCAATTTGTTTAAGATGTAAAAAACATGTAAAGGATTCATTTCCATGTAGTTGATAACAGCTGGACTATCTTCTTCTCTGCATTACACACACGTTCACCATCACACAGCACTGTCGTGCTTGTTTATTTTATAAAGCGTCTTTATGAAGAGGAAATTAGGAAAATTGGTTTTCAGAGATCACCGCAAGGCAGAGGAGCTTCAAAGACTTAATAAGCAGCAATTTCATATTTAATTTAGAAAAATAAAAAGAAGTTGAACCACAAAGTGGCTCCTGTTAATTAACATTAACTGAAGAATGTGTGTTGTGAGTTTTTTTTATCGTTTGGATGCTCGTTTGATTTTGTGGTAATGACTAACGGCTGTCGGGGCCTTTGTGAGTGGCGTGTCTCTGTGACTGACCCGGTTATTTAGTAACCCAAGCTCATTTATTGGGGTTAGGCATGCTCATAAGGAAGAATTAGGACTGCCGTCATTTCATTTCAATTCTACTTCCTGGATTGCAGCGACTTGGATTAATAATAAACGTGTCAAAGATTCAAATCAGGTTTGTTGACGCAGAGAAACCTTTAAAATTTAGAGGACTTCTTTGCATCAGCACACCTGATTTTGATCTGCGGGTGATTAACGGAGATTACTGACCTGCCAAACAGGTGATTCAACCATTAAATCAGGTGTGCTGGAGCAGAGAAACAAATAAACATCATCTAATGTCGTCACTTTCTCAGTTTCTCAAATTTGGATGCTAGAATTAAATAATTTTCCCTTTGATTTCAAGATTTTAAAATCATTTTGGTTTCAAAACCATTGTTTCTTAGGCGAGATGCAAGTCTTCAGCTTAAGATTAAGTCAGTTACAAAGCAGGTAAATATAAAATATCCTGGTTATAATGGCCTACTTTGGGGTTCACTGCTAGCTTATCTTTATGGCCTACAACCGCAAAGCATTCCCGTTCTTCATTTAATAATCTTTGCCCCGCAGCAGTTACTGTAGTGTTTTGTTGCTGATGTTTTATTGAGGACGAGGGAGGTATGTCCTCCTCATAATTCTCCTTATCAGACTCACATGATTGCTGCTGTTGAGAAACAAACTCAGATGTTATCGTGTGGAGGATGGGGGCAATCTCTCAAACTAACAAGGAAAAAACCCAACTGAGGGGATGGGAAGGTTATCAGGAGAACCGTTTTTCCACCACGAGGTCAAGGAATTTAGTTTATTGTGAAAGTATATATTGTTTATGGTTGTATTTAATGCCTGTCACCTTCAGGTGACACAACTTGAGGGAAATGATGATAAGTCAAAGCATGTGACTCAGTTTGTGACTTCCTAAAAGGACATTATAGTCATTTTAAGTGTTTGGTCACAATTTGGACTTTACCTGGCGGTGATGTCATTCACAAACGTCTCTAGAGACAGGAAGTCCTCCCTTAGGCTCCTCCCTGACTGCAGCATCACTTATGAGTGGCCACATCAGTTATAAATTAGATCATTTCCAGTATTTAAAACATCTACTGTTCAAATAGCCAAAATGTTATTTCACCTACCATACCTGTGTCAGTACCTCTATAACTTGGCATGAAAGTGTATGTTTTGTTTATGCAGTTGTTTTATCAACCAAACAACATCCGAATCACTTTGCTACCACACATGCGCCATTGCTGTTTGAAACTTCTGCCGGATCAGCCGCGACTTTCCAGGTTCATATAAATAAATATAATATAATAATAATAATAATAATAATAATAATGTAGTAAATGCAAACTGAACTACTTTGGTAATGTATATTTTTTTAAACTTTATTTTATTTGTTGTAGTTTAGAACAACACAAACAATGGACGTTTGAGGACTGGCTAATGTATAATTTATAATCAAATTTTGTTATCAGATTATATAACAGTAATAAATAAATAAAATTGGCCCATACCAACTGGAGATCCTCCACCCAGTGGCGTTCCCAAAAGGTGATCAGGAGGGCCCAAGGCCACCCCACTGGCCCCTCAAGGGATGACCCCACCCTCACCTCCATATTAAATCACATTCATGATCACACAACTCATTCATTCATCTTCTTTCATCTTTTGTAATCCAGAAATAAATGTTAAAGCCAATAAACAAATGTGTTTTAATGACATTTTAATAAATATTTTGTTCAATTTATTTTATTTAATGAATCACAATTTAAATATATGTATATATATATGTGTGTGTGTGTGTGTGTGTGTGTGTGTGTGTGTGTGTGTGTGTGTGTGTGTGTGTGTGTGTGTGTGTATTTTTGTGAATATATTTTATTGAAACAACAACAAGCAAATTAAATAGTTTTAAATTCTAAAACAATAACATTTGAAAGAAGAACTGAAGTAACTGTTGAGACTTGTGTTTTTCTGAAATAAGTGTTTCTCAAATTTGAGATGGATGGATATTTAGGTTTATTTTTTATTTTTAGAAAAATCATACAA